AACCTGTGTTTTTTAAAAATATGGTGTCAGCAAAAGGAGACCTTTACTGAAAATACAATCAAATATAATGCTAGTTTTGTTACATAGTTACAATAGCTGTATCTCATCTGCTAATGTAGGCTATATCACAAGATGGCACCCCAATGTAGATATTAATTTACTGATGCTTTGTTTTAATGAATCATTTATCAGTTCAACTTATTGAAAGCATACAGGTCCAAAGCTTTATTGATATAACTGTATGCATTTACAGTATTGCCGAAGCATCATAGTAAAACATCATGGAGAGAGAACCTGTCACAAATTAACACTGATAACATTAAGTGTCAATATTACAACATTAGAGAACAGAAATTAACATTAAGTTACATTACAATAATTAAGAATAATAACAATAATAGTGGCAATAGTAAGAGTAATGATTGTAAAGGAGTAAAATAAAACCCAAGAGAAAACAAACAGGGCTGTTGGTGTGCATGTGTGTGTCAACAATAAAAAAAAAAAAAAGTTTAACTTGAACCTTAAGAATGCCAGAAATGACATTATTTATGGTGAAAATGTGTGCACTGTATGGAGTATGTCTGTATGGGTTCTCCGGTTTCCTCCCACCTCCCAAAAACATGCCAGTAGATGTACTTGCTATGCTAAATTGCCCCGAGCTGTGAATGCGTGTGTGCATGGTGCCCTGAGATGAACTGGCATCACATCTAGGGTGTATTCCTGCCTCATGTCCAGTGCTCCCAGAATAGACTCTGGATCCATCATGGCCCGACCAGGATAAAGCAGTTACTGGAGGTGAATGACTGAACAAATGGGCATTTGGTATTTGCTAAGTATACATATTGCTTATCATAGCTACATTTGACATATTTCATACATGTATTTTATAAATGCACAGCTCATATCAACAGGATACAAATAGAAAGCATCTCAGGAGAAAGAGGGGGGAAAATGACATCTTTAATTAATCCAATGGGGATTTTTGATCTTATAATACTTTGTCAGCTAGAATAGTGATGATAATAATAATAGTGAAAATATTTTTCTGTATAGTTAAGTGGTGCTGTTATGTAAGACTTTTTTGAAACAACCTAAAGATAATGGAGGAGGGAGGGCTGACAGCTTTATCTGCTGAATAAAAGATTGATCTTATTTAACAAGGCACTCACACCACCACCACCACCATCCTCCTCCTCCTCATCAGCTTTTCCAAATGTGAGTCTCGCTCTACAGCCAGTGTAGATGTTTTAATAAACAATTATTGGTTTTGCATGAACTTAAAACAAAACAAAACAAAACAAAACACTTACTTTTCTGTATTTAACTGGTGCTGTTATGTAACACTATTCTGAAATAGTCAGCCGGTCGTGCACGCGCATTCCTGAGCTCTATTCAGTGCGCGCTCACGCTGTCGGGGAACTTTGCCAGGAAACTGATAGTGGGGAGAACTGGAAGCAGCAGGTTTGTACTGAAAACATCCTAAAGATAAAGGAGGAGGGCTGACGAGTTTTAATCTACTGAATAAAGCATCTTAGTCAAGGATTAAGTAGAAAAAAAGTTGATTGACTTTATATGAAAATGTATATGATGATGATGGTGATGATGAGGATAATGATGATGATGGTGGTGGTGGTGATGATGGTGATGATGATGATGATGATGGTGGTGAGGATGATGATGATTATGATGATGATGATGACACCATCACCATCATCATGCACTACACATAGCTGCTTTTCCAAATATAAGTCTGGCATTATAGCCAGTGAGATTGTTTAAAATAACAGTTCCTGACTTTGCACTAAGCTTACTGGCTGCTGTTTCGCATTTGAAAAGGATTAGTCATAAAAAAGCAACTTTTATGACTTTTCTGTAGTTAATTGGTGCTGTTACTTAAAACTATTTATTCTGCAACAACAAACAATTAAACACAGGGACGCTCAGCCAGTCGTGAACGCGCATTCCCCAGAGCTCTATTCAGTGCGCGCTCACGCTGTTGGGGAACTTTGCCAGGAAACTGAAGTTAGGGAGAACCGGAAGCAGCAGGTTGGTGCTGAAAACATCCTAAAGATAACAGAGGAGGGAGGGCTGATTAGTTTGTATCTGACGAGTAAAGGATTTATCTTACTCAAGGAATAAGTAGAAATAAACATGGCCCTGACGCAGGGTGTGGTTTTGTCGTTTTTAATGGAGCGCGGCGGAAAAGTGAAGAACACGGAGCTTTTGAGCGCGTTCACGGCGCACATCAACTGCAGCGAGCCGGAGCAAAGAAGACGCAACAGGGATCTGTTCAAGAGTTTCATCAACAACGTGGCTTTCGTGAAACGGGTCGATGATGTCAAATACGTCGTCTTGAAGAAGAAATACCAAGAGATGATCAGTGAAGGAAAGTCCTCCATATCATCATCACCATCATCATCATCATCATGCACAACACAGCAGAGCTGCTTTTCCACATCTGAGTCTCGCTCTATAACCAGTGCAGATGTTTTAAATAACAATTCCTGGTTTTGCACAAGTCCACCTGGCTGCTATATTAACAATTCTAAAGATTTAGTCACAAAACAACAGTTTCAAATTAGATCAACTGAGTGTGATGCTGTGATTGCTCCAGTCACTACATCCAACCAGGAGAAATCTTTGACTGCGCGAGTACTTAATGTAGCTAATAATACCAGAGAGGCCAAAATAGGGGCTGTTTTTGCTGTTGTGGCAATAAAATCACCGCTTCGTTCACAGTCTGAGAAGATAAAAGTCAACCACAGAATACCTGCATGTCGCCAGAGATTCGAGACTCCACCACAGCAGGAGATAAAAACTGTGGAAGCTGGAAAGAATTCACCCCGCCTGAATCATGAATCTGATCTAAACAAATCACCAAGAATCAAAAGGAGACAGACAGTGGTGCCTATTTCACCAGCACCGAAAAGAGGAAATAAAGTTGGTAAACCAGGTTTCGGTGCTAAGGACTCATCTGCGATCCGTCTGGAGCCACGAGAACACGAGTGGCTTGTAAAGTCAGCAACAGGACGCTGGAGTCAACTCTACAGCCTCCTGCTGCAGGACGTCCACCTGGCAGAGAAGAGAAGCTTCATATCTGGCTTCACGGCACTTCACTGGGCCGCTAAACACGGAAACAGCAAAATGGTGCGCAAAATCCTTGACGTCGGTAAAAAAGTTGATGTGAACATCAAGAGCTATGATGGTTACACACCGCTGCATGTTGCTGCCATTCACAGCCATGAATCAGTCTTAAATTTACTGGTGCGTGAATACAGTGCTAACTGCAACATACGTGACAACAGTGGCAAAAAGGCGTATCAGTACCTAAGCAAAGACCTGTCAGCTGAGGTGAGAGGGCTGCTCGGAGACCCTGCTGTTTCATGCCAGGTCACCGAACATGCATTCTCAGATGATCAACACTTTTCAGATTTGTCTAAAAACCTCAACACATTCAGTAAACTATTTCAAGCCAGTGTGGGACACAGAAAGAAATCCAGACATCGATCAAGCTTCCGTTTAATCAGTAATGAACAGGAAGAGAACAGGAAAGACTGTACATTAGATCACTAACACTAATAAAGTGCTCAAATTTGGGTTTATGCACTTGAATAGATGTTAGCCATATCTGTTTTTAATTTAATTTATAGTGATATTTAGCTTTTATACCACAGCACTGTTGAATTCTCGCATCTGATTGGTCCAACAGTAGTGCCAGCTCTAATTCAAATGGGAGTTTTATACTAATGTGCCTGTTCTATAACATTATCATTTCTGCATAATCCAAGATGTTATTTAACGAAGAAAACATATGATCATTGCTAAGGAGATATTTATTTAACATTTAAGGAGTCTCCAGTGTCAGTGTTTTTGTAACAGTCGGTAAGTTTTCCATCGCAAGAAAGTCTTTAGGACTGAGGACTTTGCTCTTTACAGTTTCTTGATAACATGACAAGCTGTGTGTGTGTGTTTGTGTGTGTGTGTGTGTGTGTGTGTGTTTAATTATTATTAACTTAACATTGTGATATGCTATTATAGGAAAATAATCCACTTCTGGGTGGGAATGACATTAATATTTACAGCATTTAGAAGACACGGCTCACAGAAGTTGTTTGTAGTCTCAATCAAAAACACATCCTCATGTTAGTTTACTAGGTCATGAACTAACAGCACCATCAAGCTAAACCATGTTGGAGGAGGTTAGTACAACATGAAAGAAAACACAGCATCACACCATCCTATTGTGGATTATTTTCATGTAACAACACACTAAAGTGTTTTATTCCTTATTTAGCCATACTGATGGCAGGAAAGACAGTATACTGAACCACAGTCTGTTCCACTATCACTAAAAAACTGCCCAAATTAGAGTTGATGCACTTGAATAGACTTTTACACTGTGTCTGTTGTTAATTTAAAAAAATAGTTATTAATTTAATTAATAGAGATAGTAATGCACTTGAATAGATTTTTGCCAGAACTTATCTGTTTTGCATTTACTTGCTAGTGATATTAGGCGGCACACAGCTCCAGGATCCCCTGCAAGATCCTAAACTCTGATTAGTGTCTGTGTGGAGTTTCGCATGTTGTTCCTGTGTCTGTGTGGGGTTCCTCCAGGTTCTCCAGTTTCCTCCCACCTCTCAAAAACATGCAAGTAGGTGGATTTGGAGCTACATGTGTCCCTGATTCATGCCCCGTGTTCCTGGGATAGACCTCAGATCCACCAACACCTTGACTAAAATAAAGCGCTTAGTGACCATAAATGGATGATAGTGATATTTTGCTTTTAGATAAGTTGAGAACAGCGAAAGACTATATATATTTTTTCCTCTTTCGGCTGCTCCCATTCTGGGTCACCACAGTTGATCACCTGTCTGCATATTGATTCTGGCACACGTTTTACACCAGATGCACTTCCAGACACAATCCTCCCCATTTCTGGGCTTGGGACCGGCTCGAAGAGTACACTGGCTCATGGACTCTACAGTGACTGGAGTTAGATCCCTGACCAAGAATCGAACCTGGACCGCAGCAATGAGAGCGCCGTGTGCAAGCCACTAGTCCACCAGGCAACCAGCAAAAGACTATATATATTAACCTGCAGAATTTTCCACTAACATGAATGAACTTCCCAGTAAAAGCTGATGCACTTGAATACTTGTAAACTTTTACACCATATATTTTGTTAATTAATTGATATTTATTAATTTAGTTAATAAATATAGTGATATTTTGTTTAGGTGTTTAGCCAAGTTGTTACTAATTTGTGCACAGACTTTTCAGACACTAACCACTGTCAATTTGATTCAATAAGCTATAATCTAAGTTTTAAGTCTTGGGTAATTTTATTTAATTTTTTTATTTAACATCATTAGCCTTAGCTAATTGTTGTCAGCCACACAAATGGTGTTACACATATGAGCATGGTGCAGTATATTTCATTAAACGATTTGAGAATCCTATACTTTTGTTCAGTTTTAAAAGAAATGTCACAAATAGATTTCATTTATTTCAGATTTCAGATATTACACTATAATCTTGTTTACAGCATGACAAGTAAGTGTAACGGATGTCCCTGCCAAAAGGACAATTGTAACCAATGTACAATTTGTCTTTATGTCATTATTGTAGAAAATATGAATTATGTACACCTGTCTCTGACCCTGATTGTGTTTGTAGACAAATTACAAAAACAGGTTTTTTTTGTCTGTGGTATTGAAAATGTCAGTGTCATCTTTTTCTTTTTTTTTTTTTTCTTTTTTTTTTCTGAGCACTGAAATGTTTTAGTGTTTAAGGCTATACTAGTGCCTGGATGATTTCAGTCCCAGGACTGCCAGGAAGTCACTGTTGGGCCCTTAGCAGCCTTTATCCTATAACTAGTCAGATATATAATTAGATTGTATTCCACATTGTAAGTAGTTCTAGATTAAAAATGAATAGATGTAAATTCAAAAGAATAAATTGACCATATATTTTTATAACACTTCTTGTAACTGGTAATGAATTAATTACTAGACATTGATTATTTGGTATTGTTTGTCCTTCAAATTTTTAAATAAGTGAAACTGTTGAAGATAGTTCATTATAGTATTTCAAATTGGAGTAGAAATCCTGTCCATATTTTCTTCTTTATGAATGACTACTTGCTCATTTCTGTCATATCTGATTCTGTGACTGTGTGTGGGGTATGCTGAGAAAAAACTGGCTGATTGTGCTGGAATAAAAGAACGAGTCAGTCTATGTGGGCTGTAGGAATGTGGTCCTTGAATTTATTACATTTTGCTTGAATCTTTGAAAGAATGAACTTTCTTTCCCAACTCCACAGTGATGCAGAAGTTGAAAGAGAAGTTAAACATATTTTACCAATCCATCCATTTTCTGTACCGCTTATCCTACATAGGGTCATGGGGAGCCTGGAGCCTATCCCAGGAGACTCGGGACACCCTGGACAGGGTGCCAACTGATTGCAGGGCACAATCGCACACACACTCACACACCCATTCACACACTACGGACAATTTAGAGATGCTGGCCAGCCTACAATGCATGTCTTTGGACTGGGGGAGAAAACTGGGGTACTCAGAGGACACTTTTCAGAGCATGTATTTTAGTGCTAGCTACCAGTTTGTGACATAACAAGTGTGATATAAAGATGCATTGATCAATATAGGGTTTAATTCAACACAGGATATTTTGTTGTGTTCCCCTTACAGGAAATACATGAATAAAAAGGTAATAAGTTCTTTCATTTCATTCATATTCATTTTTAAAAAAATATGAAATATTAACAAGGATGGAATACATTTCTATTTGCCTTACAAGTGGTAGATTTGTGCAATATTATTTTGAAAGATTTTGGAAGCTTTCTTTAGCAATAAAAAGAAATGTACACAGGTTTTTTGCCATGAGTTCTTTTACAGAAAAATCACATGAACTCATCAACTTCACATGTGGATAGCTCCATACGTGAGCTTTTTTTTTTTTTTTTTACTTCACATGTTGGGTTTCACACATTTTTTGACATGACATGTAGTGGACTTCTCTCATGTAGTTTAAAAAAAAAAATATATATATATATATATATATATATATATATATATATATATATATATATATATATATATATACACACATAATTGCTCACAGGTGCAATTTCAGGGCATGACACAGCCTAATAAAAAAAAAACTTTACTTTTTACACTGTATTTTTTTCTTTAACTATATATATATACATATATATTTTTTATATGTAGTGCATGTGTTTTTTTCCCCACATGATTTTCCCCCCACATGATTCATTAATTTAATATATTTAATTTTTCACAGGTAGGCCATGTGCTTTTATTTGATACACGTTGTTAAATTTATTTATCCATCATGATGTCCCATGTCTGAGCTCACAGGTGCAATTTCAGGGCATGACACAGCCTAATAATAATTTTAAAAAACTTTTACACTTTAATTTTTTTTTCTTTTTTTTTTTTTTTTTACATGTGATCACGTATTACTTACATAATCACATGTACAGTACACATCTCCAGTTTTTTGTGTGGTAATGCAAAAAGTGAAACGTGCTATCAGGTTAGGATAATACAGTGATGAAGATTACATTTTTATCGATGTGTGTGTGTGTGTAGGTGTGTGTGTGTTGTTTTCTCGTGTCCATGTGCTGAAGAAACGTCATGCACGCGCGCCCGGTTTGAGATGATTACATACACCTGTTAGGTGACGCGCGACCGGAAGTGTGCATGGCCCGGGGAGAATTCCGCAAGTGCAGGTCAAAGAATGTGTTAAAGTTTGATGCATTTATTGATCATGGTTAAGGAGAGTTGCGCAGTTTTTTGCCTGAACGCGCTGGTGCTCGTGCTGATGGGCGCCGGAGTGTCGGGACTCTCGGGCCGCGGTGCTGGAGGTCAACCCGCCGAGCACTTAGTGCATCACGGCAACATTTTAAGCCCGTTACTGAAAGCCTTATCGGAGCACGAGCCGTGGGGAATTCATTTCCCGAGAACTAGACCCGATTCCAGATATGTGCGATTCATGAAAAGGCTTTACAAACTGTCTACAAAGCATGAGAGGAGCCACGAGGCGTCCCACCTTTACAACACTGTGCGCCTGATCACAGCACGGCAGGAGTGTCTGGACCAGTGTGGAGGTACAAACACAACAACCACACCCCAGAGATCTATTCAGTTACTGTGTGAAGATTACTTGTGTGTCAGCCTCACTTCTACCATGTCTATCAGTGGAAAGGACCACCTCTGACCAGATGTTGTTTCTAGTGGTAGCTCATTCTCAGCACAGCGGTCACACTGACATAGTTGTGTGTGGGTGTGTGTGTGTAGGGAGCTGGTACGAGTGTATCGGGCGCAAGAGCTTTGTAGCTCCAGGGACCTCTGATCCGATCCAGAGCACAGCTTACTGTCTGTGTGGAGTTTCCTCACAAAGACATGCCAGTAGTTGGACTGGTGACTCTAAATTACCCCTAGGTGTGAATAATGCTGTTGAGGTTGTAAATCTTGAACCAGTAAGAAGCCAAAGAAAACACCCCCTCAACTTGAAATTCCTACTCATCAGCTTCTCAACTACAAGTTCCTTCCCTGTTTATGGAGTGATGTCAAATCAACATGGCTGCTCACAACATCAGAAGTAAAACAAAGTAGCACTGCTTTACTTTTCGATGAGTTGTACTGTATATGCAAGTATTTACTTCAGATCAATCAACATACAGACATTAGCTTCTTAAATCTATAACACTGACTATACAGTTCACTGTTTCAAGAGGAAAATATACATCACTCATCACAGTTAGCTGTCTAGCTTGTTGCTAACAAAAGACAAACATGGTGGCGTGCACGTTTTCCCCTGCACCTGGTCTGTTGAATGTGCCGAGGTCGTTGACATAATTCCAACAGGCGAATTACCACTTATGAAGTGAATCGAATGCAGCGTTAGTGTCTGATGGACTCCCATCCAGGCTGTATTCCCGCTTGAACCCAATGTTCTCAGGATAGGCTCTGGATCTACCTTGATTGGAATGAAGTGGTTCCTCTCAAGGTCTCTTCCTTAGGGAGTTTTAATAATGGGGAGTTTTTCCCCATTATTGTCGTCTTGCTCATTAGGGATCTAAATCTACGTCCTGATTTCTGTAGAGCTGCTTTGGGACAATGCCTACTGTTAAAATCACTACAATTTCCAAACAAACCTCAATTGAATTGATTGAATGACCAAAAATATTCATGCACTATCCATTGACCACTGATGGACCATTGATTAACACAAATTGACAAGTATTACAATTCACACATGGAAAGTTGAGCTATAGTTTTTACCCGTATGCTTTCAAGGTGGATTAACAATGTAGTTGTGTCTAATAGATTATAGCGACACTGCTGTGCCTGATGCGCTCGTACCACCACACACACTACCATGTCAGGGTCACCCACAACCCAAATAATATCTGGTCAGTTTTGGTCCCGTGGTGTTCCCTTTTTTTTCCGCTGATGAATGGAAATTGTATTTGCAGTCAGTAGTTGTATACCTACAATGTGCACTCATATGGTATAATTGTACCTAATAAACTGGAAACATGATGTATTTCACTGAATGTTGTACGCTTGATGGCTGCGGAATTGGATCACAAGTGTACTGAGGACATTTTTGGATACAGTAAGCACAAAGACATTAAAATGATGTGAAAATATTTTTTCCATCAAACATCATAAATGTTCTTTAATTGGTCCTTCTGAAGAAAGTAGTTTGAGTGTAGCTGCCTAAGGTTGTAGGTTTTGGCCAGAGTAAATGCTGTTAGTGCATGTTTTGAGGACCTGGAAAAGATGGCTGTTGTGGTTGTATACAATACGTCAGAGTTAATATGGGCTAAACAGAAAGTATATTTTTGGGCTAAATTAATGTGGATGTAAAATTTTCCACCGGCTTTGCTAGCAAGCTTGCTCTATGCTAGAAGGAGCTACTTCACCTCTAGCGAGGCTGCCACTATAAATAAGCATTTCATTTAACTGGCTAAAATGATTCTTTGAAAATAATCATTTAAAACCGTTTTTGCAGTGTG